TTTCTTGGGAGCTCGTGGGGGGCTGAAGGATGCACCCATGGCAGGGCAGGATCCTGCGCCGTGGGGCTGAGCCCCACAGAGTACCCGGGGGCAGAGGTTTGTGTTCCTGCACCGCCGCGGCTCTGCCGGCTCGGGGGCTGCTTGGGAGCTCGTGGGGGGCTGAAGGATGCACCCATGGCAGGGCAGGATCCTGCGCCGTGGGGCTGAGCCCCACAGAGTACCCGGGGGCAGAGGTTTGTGTTCCTGCACCGCCGCGGCTCTGCCGGCTCGGGGGCTGCTCCGGCCGCCGGCTCGGGGACTGATCCGGCCAAACTCTGACTGGGTGAAAAAAGGCCGTTGGAGCTGGCTGTGCCCCCCACGCAGCCCCTCGTGTGCACGCCAGCCCACACGCACCTCCCGAACCCCCAGGGACAGGGGTGGGGACCGAACCCCTCACACGGGATGGTGCATTTTTAAGGAGAGGGTGTCTCGCTGCGAGCGGAGCCCCTCCGCGCACCCCCTGCCTTTCTGCGTCCTTTCCGTATTTAATCCCGGGAGGTTTTTTTCCGGCAGTGCCTCAGCCCCCTCCTGCGTGCCTGCAGTGCCACGTTGGCCAGGGCAGGAGGTGCTGGTATGGGACAGGACCTGTGTGCAGGGTCACCGGGAGGGCCAGGGGACATTTGGTGTCACCGACAGCGTGGGGACATCACTGTAGGTCAATGGTACAAGGATGGTTGCGCTAGGATGGCTCTGAGCCTGCTCCGGCTTTGGGCTCTTCCCCACTGTCCCAGGCTCATCCTGGGGTTTTGTGGGGCTTTTGGAGGCAGTGGAAAATTCAAACTCCCTTTTTTGGGAAGGTTGGATCAAGGGGAAGCCGTGGTGAGGCTCTCAGGGGGATGTGGATACCCAGGATGCAGATGTTAGACCTGACGACGGGAAGGAGAGCTGTACCTTCTAAATATCCTCCTGCTATACGGCCCTCGGTGCCAGTCACCTGTATTTTCATCAGGGAAATAATCCTAATTTTATCTTCATGCAAACACCCTCTGGGGATGCAGGTCGCTGTAGGGAGGCTTTGGGCAGGTCTCAAAGTAAAGCTGTGGGAGCAGCCCAGGTCTGTCCCCCCACGGCACGTGGGGTGGCACAGGGGGACCGGGACCGGCACCGGAGCCAGGGCCGCATCAGGGACCGATGGGGACCCTTCGTGCTGCCGGTTGTGTTGGTACGGTAATGTGAGTTTGAACGCATTCACACTCGGTGCAGATACACATCCCGGAGCCATTAGGGTGTTTGCGTGCGTGGCAGTGGGTAGCAGCTCTGTGTGGTGACGGGGTTTGTGCATCCTCAGGCCAGACGTACGCACACGGGACTTACGGACCTATGCGTGTGAATGTATATATAACCTGTGCACGTGTTCCTACGTCTATGAAACGGGGAGATCTATATTTTTGGTGTATTGCTTTAGTACCAGTTAGCTTCTGTGCATGGACTGAATTAGGAAATCCTAAATTCCAGCACCGGTATTGCTTTGCAGCCCCCTCAGCTCTCAGTACATCTCAACATACGATGTATCCGTACCCCATCCCACCCCGAGATGTACCTTTAGCCGCAGAAGGCACCCCAATAAAAAGGGTACCTATTGCTTTCCTGTGTGTTGGAGATTGCACTGCGCATCCCAAGGAGCGTTGCTCGGGTTTCCCACTCCAGCGCCGGGGGGGTGTGGAAAGGCCAGAGCTGCTGGCGCCAGCCCAGATCGGTCTCTCGTGCACGGATTTTCTGACTCAGTCTTTAATTACACGGCCACAGGCGGCTGCGTTGCCGGTCCCTGGCTCACTGGTGTGCAGGGAAAGTCGGCTGCTTTGCTTCTTCCAGCTGAAAAGCTGCTCCGGGTAGTGGGGATGGGGTGAGCAGAGGGAGCCCACGTGGATCCCCCCCATCAGTGGGGGCATTTTTGGGGAGCTGGGCA